CGTGAACATCTTTAACTTGTTCATCACGTACACCGTTCGTTTGTTCGCAGGTCGTGAACATCTTTAACTTGTTCATCACGTACACCGTTCATTTGTTCGTAGGTCGTGAACATCTTTAACTTGTTCATCACGTACGGCGACACGTTCCTACCGAGCCCGACGAGCTACGATGAACTGTACTACGAGGTTGTTCGCATGCACCAGGTGTTCGACAACCTATACTCGATGGGTGAGTAGCGCGTGTGTGTATCATCTATAAACCAGCTGTTATATATACTATGTACTATATACTGTATCGATACATTGTTTCACTTATATTTGCTAGTCTGTAGCTGCGTTCACATGAGATACACGGCCTCGCTGGTTCCGTACTTAGCTGGTGCTGAATTCGGCTGAAATACGCGCTAACACAACCCGGAGCGTTCACACGAGATACACGAGATTCGAGGCTTAGCTGGCTAGGTATAATATAGACTGGTACCCGGTCGACAGTTCCACACGCTACACTAACGTCGTGTAGCGAACGGGTACCAGTCTAGGTAAGCGCGATACAGTTTCGCAATTCGAATGCGTTCACACGACAGACAATACGCGGCCAGCGTGGTGCCGAATATACATTCCTTACTCGGCACGGAATGTGTGAGTAAGCCGCGTATTTCAGTACGGTACTGAATAAGCCGCGTATATATCAATATATTATCTCGACTCGAGATACCTGCTGACTGCGACTCCTGTCTCTCGCTTTGAGATAACTTCGGGAAACCTCGCGTGTTTCCGTCAATGATTGACAAATGGAATGAATGATGTCTGGTATTGATTGCCATAGTGATGACCCCCACCTGTGCCCACCTCACGCTGGATGTAGTAAACTCTGTAGTACTGACGTAATGAGTCGGCGCTACCATGGCGCTACACAGCGGCGACCGGAAGCAAGACACAGGCCAAAAAGCGAGAGAGGGTCGCAGTAAACAGGGATCTCGAGTGGGTTTTCGGAAATAATACCAGATTTTCACCGCTCATTATCCCAGCGTAGGGGCATCGTAGGGACAAGCGGTTTGTTTTATATTAGCAAGGTAAGACAGCTGATCAATAATACAGCAAAGAATCGTCAAAATAAAACAGGCAAAGTTTCTTTATTCGACTAATACTGCAATATGGTTTGAGCATTTCACCGTTGTACGCTCTCCTTCCTTATATGCTCTTGATATTATATTGCTTTTGTTTGCTTATCTATAAAATGGTATGTTACGTTGACACCAACCATTGGAAGGAAGGTGCAATACTTAAAAAAGCAGTACATTTGTATAATATGTCA